GTGCCCGCAACCAAGGCACATGCCCCTGGCCGGAATCGAACCTGGGACCCTTCAGTCCGCAGGCCGACGCTCTATCCACTGAGCCAAACCGGTTAGGGCAGCAGTTTGTTTTTTTAAAAAATATTTTTATTGATTTCAGAGAGGAAGGGAGAGGGAGAGAGAGATAGAAACACCAAGGAGAGAAAAATCATTGATTGGCTGCCTCCTGTACGCCCCCTACTGGGGATGGAGCTCACAACCTGGGCATGTGCCCTTGGCTAGAATCGAACCCGGGATCCTTCAGTCCGCAGGCCGACGCTCTATCCACTGAGCCAAACCGGCTAGGCCTAAACAGCAGTTTTTATAATTAACATAAACAAGTTAAATATCTAGGAAGAAATCACAGGCAAGATTTGCAAGACACCTGCTCTAAAAGCCACAGGACATCACTGAGAGAAGGTAAAGACCTATATAAATGGGGAGCTATACCAAGTTCATGGATAGGAAAGAGGCACTAATGCAGAGATGTGGTCTCCCCAAGTGAATCTCCCCAGTGGGGGTCAGCAACCCCGATGCAAATCCAGAAGGCTTTTGTATGGAGATTGACAAACTGGCCCTAAATTGCATTTGGAAGTACAGAAGGCCGAGAGAGTAACCTAGGCAACCTCCAAGAACAAAGCAGGAGGACTAGCCGAAACCGGTTTGGCTCCGTGGATGGAGCGTCGGCCTGCGGACTGAAAGGTCCCAGGTTCGATTCCGGTCAAGGGCATGTACCTGGGTTGCGGGCACATCCCCAGTGGGGAGTGTGTGGGAGGCAGTTGATGGATGTTTCTCTCTCATCGATGTTTCTAACTCTCTATCTCTCTCCCTTCCTCTCTGTAAAAAATCAATAAAATATATATATAAAAGAAAAGCTACCATTAATAACACAGGGTAATATTGACACAAGGTCAGACAAACGGACCAAAGAAATTGAATAGGGTGTTCAGAAGCAGACTTGCGTACATTGATATGGCCCCCTATTTAAGACAGAGGTAACACTGCCGAGCATGTAAAAAAGACAGTGAGTGATAAATGGTGGTGAGGTGACGGGATCTCCATATGGAAATGGATAGCCACAAATCCAGCCTCGATATGCCCACATAGTCCATTTATTTATTTTTATTTTATGTATATATATTTTTTATTGATTTCAGAGAGGAAGGGAGAGGGAGAGAGAGAGAAACATCAATGATGAGAGAGAATCATTGATTGGCTGCCTCCTGCACGCCCTCTACTGGGAATATAGCCCGCAACCGAGGCCTGTGCCCTTAACTGGAATCGAACCCGGGGCCCTTCAGTCCGCAGGCCGATGCTCTATCCACTGAGCAAAACCAGCCAGGGCCATAGTCCTTTTATGACTCGATAAATACAGCCCAGCTGGTTTCAGATCCTGCCTGTGGCCTATCAGCTTTGACCCTCTTGCATTTTCCCTCCCCCCAGGACAGAACGTCCGCTCAGCAGCAGCTGTGGATGATGGAAGACACCCTGGCAGGTCTGGGGGGCCCCCAGAAACCACCCCAAAGCACTGAGCCTGAGTCCCCGTCTCCTGCACTCCAAGGCGAGGAGTCTTCAGAGAGAGAGGTGAAGTTTACACACCTCTCTTCCCATCCCCAGCTTCCTGCCCCACCTGCCCCTGGCCAAACGCGTCACCCACTCACCTCTTTCCCTCTCCTTTGACCAACTAACCCACCTCAGACGAGTATCCTAAGCTGCAGAAGCCTGAGTTTCCTTATTTGTTACCTGTGAGCGTAAGCCAGGGGTGTGCTGGACCCCCTCCCCCCAACCCCGCCCCCCAAAGGCCAACTGCGGGCATCACTTCCCAGCTACACATTCAGTGACGTCCTGTTGAAATCGACCACGGTGGGAATATTTACACCACGGTAATTGGCAAACATACAAACCAGGGCTGTTTTCTCCCAGAGAGGCATTGCTTAAACATTTACCAGACACTTCTGATCAGAACCCCCGCCTTGCAGAGCTCTGTAAGAAGGAGAAAGGAGCCTGGGGCGTGCCTGACACAGAGTTGGCCCTCGGGGCAGGAGCCACTATTGTCACATCTGGGTTAGAGCCGCTGCTTGCCGTGAGCTTCAGAGCATGCACGGAGGAGCCCTAGGTTCAGACCCCAGCCCTGCCTTCTTGGGGAAATCAGTCATTGACCGAATTCTGAGTGTCAGTAGAATAAGAATAGGTGTCTCATAGATTTATTGAGGGGACTTAATAAAACAGGAGAAGTACTGAGCACCATGCCAGATGCATCATCATTATAAAACCCCCCACTTATAATGCCCCGCCCTGTGCCAGGCACCATTCTAAGGGCCTTACATGAGGTTTCAATCCTCATATAAGAAGTTTAAATGTGGCCCAGAGGGGTCGAGTAACTTGCCCAAGATCACACAGCTAATGAACGGCAGAGCGGAGGTTGGTCATCTGGCTGCTGGTTTTTCGATCTTAATCCTCTTGCGCTGTGTCTCAGTTGCCAGGTGCTTAATACGTGGTAATAATAACGATGCTGATAATCATGATTCCTCTTCCCCAACCCATCCAGAGTCTGCCTGAATCCTTGGAACTGAGCTCACCCCGGTCCCCAGAAGCCGACTGGGGGCGGCCCCCCGGGGGGGACAGAGGCCCTGCCAGCCCTCGCTCAGGTGAGCACCCTGGGCCGGGAGGGACAGGCATGGCATCCCCTGTCCTCACCACGTCCCGTTCTGCCCTTCCAGGTGTTGGATCTCCCAGGATCTCCCAGGCTTCTAGCCGCGAGGGTCGCTGCCCTCCCTCCCCACAGCCAGGAGCCAAGGTAGGCAGCCTATTGGGCCCCTCGGCCCATCTTGTAACGTTTCCATCTGGTCAGCACGGATCACCCGCTCTTGGGGGGAAGGGGGTTCTAAGGCCACAGCCCAGATCAGAGAGAATGTGACTTAAGAACATTGGGATTACATTTTGTCTCTGCCACCGCTAAGCTGTGTGACTTTGGGCCAGTTACTAAACCTCTATCTGCCTCCATTTTCTCATCTGCAAAATGGAGCTGAGAGCAGTGCCCACCACCTAGAGCTGATGTGAGGATTCAAACTAGATGAATGCCCAGAAAGGGTTGGAAATAGTGCCTGGATATAGTAAGTACTTCATTCATTCATTCATTCATTCATTCATGTACCTATTCATTGACTCAACAAATATTGATTCAATATCCTCTTCACTGTCCGATAAGGTAGCCAGTAGCCACATGTGGCTGTTTACATTTAAACGAAATAAAATTAAAAATTCACTCACACTCACCACACTGCCGTTGCTCAGGGGCAGATAAAACATTTCCATCACTGAAGAAAGTGCTTACGCACAGAGGTGTTTAGGCGCTGAAGTCGCAGGTGTGAGCAAAATGAGAAAAAAAACTTTTTTTTCCCTTATGAATCTGGTGTTCTAGTGGATGTCAGAGGCAGATCATAAACAGCCAATTTACTGTAGCCCTGGCTGGTGTGGCCCGATGGTTACAGTGCTGGCCCCCACACCGAAGGGTTTTGGGTTTGATTCCTGGTCAAGGGCATATACCTGGGTTGCAGGTTCAATCCCTGGTTCTGGTCTGGGCATGTTTGGGAGCCAACCAATTGATGTCTCTCTCTCTCTCTCCTCCCTCTCTCCCTTCCACTCTCTAAAAATCATTGGGAAAAAAGTGCAAAATTTTGCAGATTCTAGACCGGTAATATGGTGCATACACTGTGTATTATATAAAATCTCCAGCTATGCCTGGCGCAGCATTCTTAACCAAACACATTAACATTTCTTCAATAAAATGTATGAATATTCATATTAAATGGGATAAAAACTATAAATAACATCTCATTTAAATGTCAAGTTTTTTAAAATAGCAATAATCTACTAAATGAGCAAGTCAGAGTAGAATAAAAATAGAAATATTAGGCACTTTTTATTTCTTTTAAAAAATATTTTTATTGATTTCAGAGAAAAAAAGGGAGTGGGAGAGAGAGAGAAACATCCTATATAATAAAAAGGTAATATGCAAATTGACCCTAAGAGGGGAATGACCGGTCGCTATGACAGGCACTGACCACCAGGGGGCAGATGCTCAATGCAGGAGCTGCTCCCTGGTGGTCAGTGTGCTTCCACAGGGGGAACACTGCTCAGCCAGAAGTCGGCTCATCGCTAGCCAGCAAAGGATGTCCAACTAACAGCTTAGGCCAGGGGTGGGCAAACTTTTTGACTCGAGGGCCACAATGGGTTCTTAAACTGGACCGGAGGGCCGGAACAAAAGCATGGATGGAGTGTTTGTGTGAACTAATATAAATTCAAAGTAAACATCATTACATAAAAGGGTACGGTCTTTTTTTTTTTTTTTTATAGTTTTAATCATTTCAAACGGGCCGGATCCGGCCCGAGGGCCGTAGTTTGCCCACGGCTGGCTTAGGCCCTCTATAAGTTGTTAGTTGGACATCACCTGAGGGCTCCCGGGCTGCCAGAGGGCGCATGCTGGGCTGAGGGACCCGCCCCCCCTGCATGAATTTTCATGCACCGGGCCTCTAGTTAATAAGAATAATTGATTGGCTGCCTCCTGCATGCCCCCTACTGGGGATTGAGCGCACAACCTGGGCATGTGCCCTGACCAGGAATTGAACCATGACCTCCTGATTCATAGGTTGATGCTCAACTACTGAGTCACGCCCGCTGGGCTTGGCAGGACAAGTCTGATGCCCACTAAGACATCGGCAGATGACTGATCCAAATAGGGTGTCACGAAGGCCAGGGAGCTGCCACCTGTTCTCTCCCCACTAAGCTTTGAGGTGTGGCCACTCCAGGAAAAAATCCCAAATTCCCTTTTTTGCTAGACATCTCTCTCTGGAGCCCTCTAGCGGCCAGGCCCTGCGGAAAGTGTTGGGGGCCAGCCACGAATTAGACCTGATGCTGGAGTCTGATGGAGGGAAGGCACGAATGCGATCTTCATACGAGTCTGACAGCAACAAGCCGTTTCACAGGGGGACTGGCAGCATTAGGAAGCCTTTTATTTTTAAAAATATATATTTTATTGATTTTTTACAGAGAGGAAGGGAGAGGGATAGAGAGCTAGAACCATCAATGAGAGAGAAACATTGATCAGCTGCCTCCTGCACACCCCCTACTGGGGATGTACCCACAACCAAGATACATGCCCTTGACTGGAATCGAACCTGGGACCCTTCAGTTTGGAGGCCGACGCTCTATCCACTGAGCCAAACCGGTTAGGGCTAGGAAGCCATATACAGTGGGGCCTTGACTTAGGAGTGTCCCGACTAACGAGTTTTTTGAGATACCAGCTGTCTCTCGGCCGATTTTTTGCATTGAGTTGATAGAGTAATTTGAGTTAATGAGCTCCTTAACGAGCTCGGTCTCAGAACGAATTAAACTTGTAAGTCAAGGCCCCACTGTGTGTGTGTGTGTGTGTGTGTGTATGTATGTGTGTGTGTATATATATATATATATATATATATATATATATATGTAATTGATTTCAGAGAGGGAGAGGGGGAGAGAGATAGAAACATCAATGATGAGAGAGCCCCCTACTGGAGATTGAACCCACAACCCAGGCATGTGCCCTTGACCGGAATTGAACCCAGGACCCTAAGTCCACAGGCCGACGCTCTATCCACTGAGCCAAACCAGCCGGGGCTGGGAAGCCTTTCAAAGGATGGGTAAACTGAGGCCGGGTGAATGAGAAAAGGTTTGTCCATGTAGGAAAGTCCAGCAGAGGGAACAGCATGGAGGTGACGGTGATGCAGAAACAATGCTGAGTGTATTCCTTTGCTTAAGCCAGGTAGACCCGGAGAGTCTAGGGATTGGTCGCCCTTAGGCTGGGGGAGGCTTTGTGTCTGTTGCTGATTGGCTGGTTTTCAGAAACGCGGGGCCAGCCCTGATTGGCTGGCTGGCTGGCTGGCTTTCGGAGAAGCGCGGTCGGGGCGATGACCTGACCTAGCAGATTTGAGAGCACTTCCGGTGCTTCCTCGTTGTCGTGGATATCAAACAATCGGTCTTTCCTGGGAAGGGCGCGGTGTGCAGCACGGACGTGGGTGGTGGGGGCTGCTTCGGGGAATCGCTTCTTCCGCTCCCTGGCCGGGCAGTTCCGCGCCTGCCCGGGGGTCGCAGGCGTTTCAGAGCCGAGCAGGAGAAAGACATGGCCACGAGGTGGCAGTAGACACACGGGCTTTGTGTACCACGTTCGGACAGGTTTGCCCGTGGGTGGGAGAAGCCGGGACCTGAGACCCCGAGGTTATTGCGTGGGAGCCACTATCCAATGAGCAAGTCAGAGTAGAATAAAAATAGAAATATTAGGCACTTTTTATTTCTTTTTAAAAAATATTTTTATTGATTTCAGAGAAAAGAAGGGAGTGGGAGAGAGAAACATCCTATATAATAAAAAGGTTTGATTGCCAGATGCATCATCATTATAAAACCCCCCACTTATAATGCCCCTGAGAAGGGGATTAAGGGGCAGGGGGATAGCATTCAGGGCACAGCGGGAGTCGCTGGGAGACTCCTTAGGCGGCAGCCGCTTGGGGTATATTTTCTTTCTCTCTTTCTCCCTTTTCCTTCCTTCCTTCCTTCCTTCCTTCCTTCCTTCCTTCCTTCCTTCCTTCCTTCCTTCCTTCCTTCCTTCCTTCCTCTCTTTCTTTCTCTCTTCTCTCTT